ACACAGATTTCGACAGGCTACCTCTGCTCCCTTGCCTTCTCCTTCGTAGCCGCACACCCACCCCTTCCGAAAGTCGTCATTCGATCGTTATTGTGTTGCAACACCAGGCGGCAAGTCAGTGTCACGTCAATCCTGCTATTCTAGTACCCGTCAAACTGGTTCGTCGGCAGCGGCAACGACAACGGCAGCGGCAACGGCAACACGCGCAGAACCTGGAGCCTACAATACACAGTTTCTCAATCATACCTAGTGCCAACTCTATCTCGACCACATTCGCTTCATCTCCTCTTACTCATCATCCTCGTCGCTATCATCCACCGTCAGCCATCGAAGCGACTGTCTTTTTTCCACGGGGCTTCCAGCGCTTCGCCTGATATCAATCCACCCTGGACCTGTCAGAGGTTGGCTGCCCAAAACGGCAACCCCTTCGGAAGAGCAACCATCGGCTGCTGTGGTTCCAACATCGCGGTCGGGCGCGTCGATCACGCGGCTAAGACAGGGACAGGGATTATCCGTCAGGGATCCGAACGGGGCTCGCTTGACCCTGAGTCTTATTTTTCTGATTAAGAACCACAACCCACTTTTGAACACTTGCTGAAGGCTATTTTATTTCTTCGCACCTCTAGACCTCTAGACCCAGCGCGCTCTCGGCTTGGTCACCATTTACACATACACACCAAGAAAAAGGACCTTGCCGATCTGGTCGCTTCACCCCCACCAGTCTCCGTGGCTGACAGGGTTTCACGATCACCCGGTCGCGAACGAGTCCATAAGCGGACTACCCAAGGCTGCCATCATCGTGTTGACGTGTGTCCACCCGCCCATCACCAACAGGGAGGGCCGAGCACCGTCACTCATCAGCCCAAGCCCTGTCAAGTGTCAGGCGACTGCCGCCAGATTGAAGGATTGCTTACTCGGCCGTTCGCCCACCCAGGACCTGACAAGGGCGTGTCTGTACAAGCAGGCAGTAAGAGCAGAGAAGCTTGAGGACGGGGGTCGTACCTCTCCGTGACTGTCTTGACATTCAGGTATAGCCAGAGCTGAAGCCGTGAGGAGGTCCGAGGGCGTCAATTTCCTGTCAAAGCAAGTCAGGGAACCAAAGGGAAAGGAAAGGGACGACCCGACAAGAAGCAAGCCCACCTTTGCCGCCCAACCACCACTTTCTTCGTCTGATCTAGGGCCCGCTGCTTGGGGACAAGGGAAGGACCTTCAGCCTCACTCACCCATTTCCACCTCCAGCCGCCCACGGACCACAGACCAGCAGCCAACATGTCGACAGACACGGCAGCGGCAGCTGTGGCATCACAGGCCCCTACAGCCCCAGCATCCGAAGACACGGCCGCCACCTACGAGTCTACCCACGTTCACGCCGTCTATGAGGCCATTGCCCCCCACTTCTCAGCCACCCGCCACAAGCCTTGGCCTCGTGTCGCCTCCTTCCTCGACTCACTGCCCCCTGGTGCGGTAGGTTTGGACATTGGATGCGGCAACGGCAAGTATCTCGCCGTGAGCCCTCACCTCCATCTCCTAGGCTCCGATCGCAGCGCCAACCTCGTCGCCCTCGCCCGTGACAACACAGGCGGTAGCGGCGCGCCCCCGAAGAAGGCCAAAGGCGACGAGCCTCCCGTCGAAGTGACCACCACAGTCCCGTTGGCACGGCGCAACGAGGTCATCGTCGCCGACTCGCTAACTCTCCCCTACCGTCTCTCCTCCGTCGACTTTGCCCTCTCCATCGCCGTCCTACACCACCTCTCCACACCGTCCCGTCGTCGCGCCGCCGTTCGCGCCATCCTCGACACCCTCGTTCCCGCCAACGGCAAGGCCCTCCTCTTCGTCTGGGCCCTGGAGCAGCGCAACTCTCGCCGCGGCTGGGACGCCTCTGCTCCGCAGGACCAGCTCGTCCCCTGGGTCACGAAAGCCAACCAGCCCAAGCGCGACGCCGCCGTCGAGCCGGCAGCAGAGGAGAAGCCAGACGAGACGTGGCACCGCTACTACCACCTTTACAAGGAGGGTGAGCTCGACGCTGACGTTCAAGCTGTCGGTGGTGTCGTACTTGAGAGCGGGTACGAGAGGGATAACTGGTGGGCCATCTGCTCGCGGGGGCCGAACGAAACATAAAATGTACCTAAATCTTTTAATATTTTTTGTTTGCTACAAAGAATCTCGCGTCAAGATGAGGAAGCCTGTAGATGAAACAAGTGAATATAAAAAAAAAGCTTTGGGGAATCTATGACTATCTCGCCGCTCACGTCCGCGTCTGCGTTCTAAGTTGAACTCGCCGTGCTTTCTGGCCCCTACTCCCCACCATCCAGTAAATAATCCATAGCCATAGTATTGACTCCCGTCCGTATTTCTTCATCCCCCCTCCCCACCCAAATTTCCTGGCGGCCTTTGGTGTCCGTCCTTGCGTCTTCCGAGTCGAAGACCTCACATCCATTGCTCCCTCGTGGTCCCGATTCCATCCAGCATAAAGCAGACTGCCTCCAACTTTTCGTGTATGTTCTTTTCCCACCCGTTCTCCTTCAGCAACCTACACCCTGCTCTTTCTACGAACCAGAATGTCGCTTGATGCTGCCTTTCGTGTCAATAAAAAAGAAAAAGGAATAATGCTTTGCCCGTCTTGCTACATCTGTTGTAGTTGTTGTTCCCCGCCGAACCCTTTGTGGCGAGGCCGGGATCTGCCTCTCACCTCCGCCTCCGGCTTGACTCTCTCTGGAGCTCCCCACCCGGACTCGCCCTCCTCTTGATACCTGGTAACCCTTCCCCCATGCTGTAATGGAGACCGGTTCCGAGCGGGCTCGCCCCCGGACTCCGTCCCGGCGGACCCAAGCCACCCAATACATATGCCGGCGTGCTGTAAGGACTAACCCCCGTCGTGAGTTCGGCGAGCCCAGGCAGCGCTCCGCCTCCGCCGATGCCTCCTTCGGCTCCAACACGGCTTTGTATCGCGCCAGGCCCGGGCAAGCTCGTGCAACTGGTGCATCTGCTGCATCACTTGGG